GTTGAGCAGATACAAGGGACAAGACCACAAAAACCGATCTCTTTGTGTATTTCAGGGAGAGGGGATTGACAATTACTAGAAGTGATAAATGCTCTAATAACAAAGGAAATGTAGACCACTAGAGAATGTACAGAAGAATTTCTAAGGGCAATTGAAAAACACTCAAAAATTCACAGGAGAGTGAGTGATCTGATCACAGATTCATTATAGTATGATTGCAGAGGAAACTGGTTGTGTGTGTGGAAAGACAAAAGTAGAAATATCAATTTTGAAGTATTGAGGTAAACTTGGCTGTCACTAATATACGAGCAGTTGAAGAGTATACAGGCTGATCTGAAAAGGACTTTTAAGTAAGTATGTCCTGAGTAGGGGAAGGTTCCAAGAATGTTCAGTAAAACTAGTTTATAACACAGTATCCTAACCCAGAACCTCTTCCTTGATGCTTTTTTTTCCTGTCTATTTGAAAGGGAGGCAGCGCTGTGGCGCAGTGGGTTAATGCCCTGGCCTGAAGCGCTGGCATCCCATATGGGCGCCAGTTCAAGACCTGTGTGCTCCACTTCCTGTCCAGCCCTCTGCTGTGGCCTGGGAAAGCAGTAGAAGATGGCCCAAATCCTTGGGCCCCTGCATCCCTGTGGGAGACCTGGAGGAAGCTCCTGGCTCTTGGATTTGGATTGGCGCAGCTCCAGCCGCTGCGGCCAACTGGGGAGTGAACCAGTGGATGGAAGACCTCTCTTTCTCTCTCTCTCTCTCTGCCTCTCCTCTCTCTGTTAACTCTGACTTTCAAGTGAAAAAAAAAAAAAAAGTCACTGGGAACACCTTCCAGATTCACACGCTAAGGTGCAACTCCAGGGTAATGCAAGCAGACTTTTTAGAGCAGTGTCCCATCATTCCTCACCTCTAAGCCTGGCTCATACCGCAGGTGATTCAGTTGCAAGCACACTGTTACACTCCCCTTCATGTACACTTTCAGAATTATATTTCTTTCAAAGTCCACACTATAGATAACAAATATGACTCCCAAAGCTTCATTGGTTTAGTATTATTTATGTTCTTAACATTGACAGTACAAAATAGAGGAATTATTGCCAGAATGAACTACTTTATGAAACAATTGCTTTATTAATCCTAAAGTAGGTGGAACAGTGAGTCATGCAATGCCAATTAATGACAAATTAACTAAAAAGAAAAGATTTGGAATGGGTTAATGAGGCTTAATATTTTAATAGCATCTAAGGTAGCTAGCCAATAATAAAAAAATTGCATAGAACTTTTAACACGTGATACTATCAAAACATGTTAGCAAGAATTAAAATTAAAATCTTAAGTTTAAATGATTATAAATTGATCTCAACATTAATGCTTATATTGATTAAATCGTAGAGGCAACACTGTCTATATAGACAAGATTATTTTAAAGGATTTCAAATATCGCACAGGGCTTTCTAAGGAAATCATTCTTAGTGCTCTTCAACTTTGAATGAGTTCTAGAAATTTTAGAAAGGTGATCTATTAACAATCTCTCTAAATGTAATTCTAGCTAGGCAGTCATTATCCAGAACCCAAGGTAACCTTGGCTGGGCTTGGCTAAAAATTTCATGTGACCTCACTGATCCTATTTCTGACTATTTTCAAATGCTATATGTAGAAGCTATTCCCTCAAAATGAAAAAAAGATATCATGATTTCCTCACAAGAAAAATAACCTTGATTTATAAAAGTGTAAAAATTACTGCAAATGTATTGAATTCTATGAGTGATATGTTTAAATGTTAGGTAATGTACACAAAAGATTTGTAATTTAATTCATTTTCTACTGGTTAGTTTTAAACCCATATTACTTCTTGACCTTATTACATAATTCTGTAAATTAGTTCCTAAAGACAAAACTTTAAGGAATGAAACTAGAATGAGGGGAAGGTGAGTAATGATAAAATGAGAGCATACAACTAGGTGAAAAATGCCTTTAAAACAAAAGTTAGTCAAAACAGTAACTAAAATATCTACATGTTTTGCATGTCCAAACTTTTGCTAAATTCACATAAAAAGGCAATAAAAAGAAATAAGAGCCTACTCTATGTGACATGTTAAAATTAAAGATATCTTGCAGTTAAACATTATCTATAAAAGTTGTGCTACTATGTATAAAAATAAGTTTATGAAGTAGAAGTAAACATTTTTCTCTATATTAAAATATATCGCTAATCCAAGATGAATAGTTGGCATTACACTCACATTTAGTCAAGAAATCCAAATTGCACTTCGAAAATTCCTGGCTCATAGAATATTTTAATAGCCAACTTTCTTTGAAGGCATCTACCATAAAATTTATTATCAGGACAATTTAGTTTGTTAATTATATAATCATATTGCTTTTTTCTTGTTTGCAAAAAAAAAAAATCCTTTTGCTCTCTAAATGGGCTGCACAATCCCATATAAGTACATTAGCTTTAAAAATCAGTTTTGTTTAGATTCTTCAAGCACCCTTTAATGAAGAAAACAGAAGTATAAAAGCAAGTTTAGTATATTCCGAATATGGGCTTTATGGTGAATATTGCTGAATATTTAAAAATTAAACAATTATGTACACCTAGAAGCCTCTTGAAAATCCCTGTTTGTTCTTTCTACTTCTCTTATGCTCTGTTGACTTGTTATTAAAATCCAAATCAATGAGAGAGGTAGAAAGCTGAATAGTTGAAGGCTACAGACTTTAAGATTAATATCTTTTAATAAAACAGGTGTTATTAAGTTTTCCTTGTTCAAAGAGGTTCACACTATGTAATAAACCAAAAGTTAGGGAGATTCTGACTGTACACAGTCAGTATGGAAACTATATAGTCATATCTGAGTGCAGTGCTATGCTAGTAGGTATTAGCCTTGCCAAAAATAAAAAATAATTTGCAATGTTCTCTAATTTCTTTTGCATAAATATTGTCAAAAGGCTGATTTCAAGCTTCAAAATGACACAAATTAATCCACAATTGGGAAATATGTACAGTAGCTATTAAATAGTACTTTAATCAGCTGAATCTAATGGCTGTAAATAAGCTCATGATTGTAAGGAATAGTAAAATAAACTAAAAATGTGTTTCAGTACAGGTTACCCATTTAAAAACATAATTTATTGAATGATGAGTTTACAAACTTTATTTTGATGCCTTTGCTTAACTTCCAGCTTACACATTTTCTGAAATTCTAATAGCAGTCAGGTATAAGCACCCCGCTTTAGCATACCACTTCATAGACACTAGACACAAAGACCACCCTGGTAATACAAACTGCCATGAGATACAAAGAAATCTCTTTTAATTTTTGCTTAGAACTGCTAAAGAGCACGACCTAATGCCCCCAGTAGTTCATGGCAGTCATTTCTCCTACATTGCCTTCTTTCTTCCTGATTCAGTTCTGGCCTCCAGTGGCAGTTGCTAGCATTATTATTATCATCAAGTTGTTTAAAAAATATAATAGCAACCATGACCATAAGGTAGCCATACAACTATTTCTTCTGACCAGTAACATTTCTGTTCTCATACCATTTATTAAAATTCCCCGTCGTTAATACAAATATATTGAAAAATAATGGAATATAATAAAACTCACTGTATGGAATCAGGCTGTTTTCTTAAATTCCCACTTACTAGAAGAAAGTTTTTAAAATTTCTGATCTTTATTTTGCGTACCTATATCTAGGAAGTAATATTAATGTGTAAACTTTAAGATATAATCCAGAAAATAATTGCCATGGAAAAATCAAATCATAACCTACATGTATTCTAGAGTGGCTAATTCCTGGGCATATATGTAAGAAAGAAATCTCATGATGCATTTTCCTGACTAGCTCATCATTCCACTAACTGTATAGGGAGGGCAACTGTGTTCACTGGGCAAAATCATGCAGACCTTCAATTTTACTGATTATTGCAACAAAGATGATTAAACGAATTACTTTTATTGTTTCACACATGAATAAAACTTAACAGTAGGGGCCAGCACTGTGGTACAGCAAGTTAACGCCCTGGTCCAAAGCAATGGCATCTCATATGGGCACCGATTCAAGACCTGGGTGCTCAACTTCCGATCCAGCTCTCTGCTATGGCCTGGGAAAACAGTGCACCCCTGTGGGAGACCCAGAAGAAGCTCCTGGCTTTAGATCGGTGCAGCTATAGCCGTTGCGGCCAATTGGGGAGTGAATCAACAGATGGAAGACCTCTCTCTCTCTCTCTCTCTCTCTCTGTGCCTCTCCTCTCTCTGTGTAACTCTGACTTTCAAATAAAGAATCTTAAGAAAAAAAAAAAACTAACAATAAAGTGAAGTGCATTTAATAGATTTCTCAATTGTTTCTATTTATTTATTTATTTATTTATTATTTGAAAGGCAGAGTTACAGAGAGACAGAGGCAGAGACAGTGGGGTCATCCATCTGCTGAATCACTCCCCAAATGGCTGCAATGGCCAGAGCTGGACCCATTTAAAGCCAGGAGCCAGGAGCCAGGAGCCAGGAGCTTCTTCCAGGTCTCTCACATGGGTACAGGGGCCCGAGGATTTGGGCCATCTTTTACTGCTTCCTCAGGCTATAGTAGAGAGCTGGATTGGGAAGTGGAGCAGCCAGGACTCAAACCTGAGTCTGATATGGGCACTGATATGTAGACTCACTTGCTACACCACAGCACCAGCACCTTAATAGTTTTATAATAACATGAAAACCATAAATTAAAAACTGATGCCCATTTCTCCTTATCTGATAAATAAGAGGATGCTTGGCATCAATTTATTTTTGAATCCTTTCACAGCATCTTACAGCTTTAGAGCTGAGTTTTAGCGTATCATCTATACCAGAACCCCAAACCCTTCATGTGACATATGAGAGAAGCTAAGCTCCAAGAGGATATCCGACCCCTGCCCAATGTCATGCAGCTACTTACTAACAGAGTGCAATGAAGTGCACAGACCACACTGTTCACCAGCACCAGCACTGAAAGTCATTCATGTTAGAGTAAACCATTACCTCTTGTAGAACTCTCTTCATCTTTAACAGTAATGTCTTGACTGCTGTGCAGTCCTGTAACATCAGTCTGAATGGCAGAGAATCTATGCCTCCATTTTCTTCCACACCCTGGAGTGGCCAATCTGTAGATGGACTGCTGGGCATTCGGCTGAGATGGGAACACCTGGCTTCCTGATCAACATCTCTTGTTAATTTCAAGGAAAGATTCCTAATAAGAAAATAAATGAGCAAAAATTACAATGCAGCATGCTTGGAGCATTATTTCCCAAGCTGTTGACCAATGCTCCTAGTACACTAACAATTTCTTGTGGGCTTCAACATTTTGTCACATTAGTCTCTGAAAATTACCAGATCTTCTGCAGAAATTATTAAATGGTCAGTTATTTATTTGTTGACAGATTCAATAATTCCTGTTTTAGGATATCATCATTCCCCAATTACCATTTCAGTTATACCTGATATTTAACTTTAAAAAATACTCAAAGTCAACAAAAAACAAATTTCTTATTTAGAATTTCTTATTTAGAATTTAGAAAGACAAGTTTCCTATTTAGAATTTCTGTTAATATGTTTTGAAATTAACTAGTACAGAAAGTTAGCTAGCAAAAATCTAGGAAAAATAAATTAATTATTTTAAATCACTAAAGCAATGAATGACCATTATAGTGATTAGGAAAGGCAATATACACAGGATTTTATGTAAAAATGGAACAAATGAGAGCAACAGAGAAGACGTTTATCTCCCTTATGTAATTACATATGAAGGGAAGCACAATATGATACTCCAAAATACGCCACATGGTCCTGAACATTGTCAGCTGAAGGTAAAGCAGAAGCACATAGAGGAAAAGTCCTCTGCCCTCTCCGTATTTGCCCAGCTCTGGATAAAAATGTACAGAAGCACTTCCTCTCTCCTCTCTACCAAGAACAGAAGTTAATTAGTGGAGAAAACTCTGGACCCACATAACACGGAAATAGCTCCCAAGGACTCTACATAACAAACTCTCCTCACTGGCCTTTATCTCACTACCTAGCCCTCATCTTCTCATGGAAAAGTAAAATTAAAAAAGTAATCTGAATTTTCCATAAATGTTTTGAAGACCCTGTATTTCCCTTTCTACAAAAAGCTCCAAGTCCTTTCCCTCTGTCTTGTCCGTTCTCTAAAAATCCATTGTTCTAAGATATTCTATCAGCTCAGATTCCAACCATCCCTACGGGTAGTTCATCACTGAATGCTTCCATGTGTATGCATGATACACACGCCTACACAATTCTGTTTTTCCTTTGTTAATGTTTTGTCAGTCTGATTTAAAAGGCCTCTGCCAAGAATGAACTGATGATGAGTAGAAGAAATAGAAAATGTTTCTTCCCCTAGACATGTTTATCAACTAATGATTAAATGCTAAAAATAGTAGTATGCGCAAGACCACAGGCTCACATTTGTATTTGTTTAGTTGAAAATCAGCTATTATTTAAAAATGATGATTTTAAAATAATTTAACGTAGCTTATACACATAAAAGAAAGAATGTTTTCAGAATTTTCCAAAGGTACAAATTATGGTAAATTTAAAAAACTATGAAAAATACTATAACAGTTGCTTTTTAAATGTTTATCTGTTTGCCTTTGTTTATTAAAATCATGAATCTATATAATAATGATAATATAACATAACAGAATCTTTATGAAAAACAGCTTAGGGCTCATATTCAATTTTTATTTATTTTTTTGACAGGCAGAGTGGACAGTGAGAGAGAGAGACAGAAAGAAAGGTCTTCCTTTGCCGTTGGTTCACCCTCCAATGGCCGCCGCAGCCGGTGCGCTGTGGCTGGTGCGCTGCGGCCAGCGCACCGCACTGATCCGATGGCAGGAGCCAGGAGCTTATCCTGGTCTCCTGTGGGGTGCAGGGCCTAAGCACTTGTGCCATCCTCCACTGCACTCCCTGGCCACAGCAGAGAGCTGGCCTGGAAGAGGGGCAACCGGGACAGAATCCGGCTCCCCGACCAGGACTAGAACCTGGTGTGCCGGCGCCACAAGGCAGAGGATTAGCCTAGTGAGCTGCAGCGCCAGCCCATATTCAATTTCAATACCTGACATATGTATTTTATTTTCTGAATTATATAAGATCCCTTAGCAATTTACATTGGAGAAACAAAAGTATGCTCCAGTAATTGGCACCAAGTCAAAGAGATATACAAATAAGAAAATATGTCCTCAATTAATTTTACTTAAATATGATTACAGTAAAATCAATATAATTTAATTTATAAACTATTAGATAATTAATAAAGAAAACACAATTTTGAAACATTCAATTATTTACTTGTCTTCAGAAACTTGGTCATTGATAACAATCATCACTTGAAATTACAAGATGGTAATGAAATATTAAACAATCATAGCTAACATTTTTTAAAGGCTGACTCTTGGCCAAAAACTGTGCCAACTGTTTCATGTGTGTTAATTCATTCAAACCGTGTTCAAGTCTAGGAATTAAATGTAAAGAGGTATCTTTTTTCCCTATGAAGAAATTGATACACAGATAAGTAAATTTCCTTATATTTAAAGAACTAGTAAGAAATGGAACTGAGATGGGCTTAGCTAACCACTTTTAATAATATAAGACATTTTTTTCCTACTAACCACACAATTAGTATGCATAGAACATTACCTAATATTTATACTAACACATAATTTACTGTAGCTAAAGGATTTCATCTATGCCAAACCATTAAATCCTTACAACAACTCTTAGGTAGGTACTCCTATACTCCCCATTTCACTAATAAGGGGTTTGACTCTTAGAGAGGGTAAGTAAGTTGTCAAAGGTTACACAGCTAACAAGGGACACTGCTGAGATGTGAATGCTGGCAATAGCTTCCGGCTCAAAACCACTACATCATCATACATTTATTCTGGAAAACATGCAAGCAGATGAATAAAAAGCTTCATTCTTATAACCACACACAGAATCACAAATGTTTTCTCTTTAAAATGTATTTTTTTCTGATATGACTGATTCATTTTGGCTACATTATATACAACTTGCAGTGAACCATAGCATAATCACTAAATGATTCTATTTTACATTAGTGTCCTCCTTTTGTGTTGTTGTTTTTCATTTAACAAGATAATATGTATTTTAATCTATATTATTTTATTCAACCATACATTTTGTTCAGGAACCCACAATTTGGGCCAAGCTCAGCAGGGAGTGCTCATTTCTACTCAGCATCAATGGAGGTGGCTGGAATGCTGGGGGCAGAGGTCATCTGAAACATTGTTCATCCACATCCCCATGCCTAGCCCTGGGGTGAGAATATTCAGACATTCCTGGCCAAGGGCACCTCTCCCCAGCCCCTACTCCCTCTCCATGTGGTCTACCCAGCATGTAGTTTTGAGTCATCAAGATTTCTCGTATGGTGACTCAAAGCTCCAAGACCTGTGTCCAACAGAAAATCCAGGGGAAGCTGCATCTCTTATAACAGTATTTCAAAAAGATGGGGGAAAAGTAGAGATTAAAGGAAAGTTCATTCTGGTATAAAATGTTTTTGAAATCTGAGCATAGTTTTTTTTTTTTTTTAATAGAAACTCATTTTCCATGACCTTTGTGAAGATCTCATGTATATCCCAGCATCAGAGGTCATCAGCACCACTTCCACTCTCCACAATGCAGCTCTAAGGGACCCTCCAGCTTCAAGGAGTGGGATATGGGATGCACCTCTTGAAGGCAGTGCGATTTGGGAAGACCATGTGAACCTTGAAAATATTGCTATAGCCACTTAGGGAAGAAATGATCTTCCACAATAATAATTAATAATAATACTCAACTATAACATAGATTAATTTTGGTGATAGAAAAATACTTCCTAAACCCTTCCCCTAAATGAATTAGTTTTCATTGTTCACATACCCTTTACATATATGATCTCATGGAAACCTCACCTCTATTCCACAGTGTAGATATTATTTCCTCATTTCACAGAAGCAAGAACTGTGGCTCAGAAGCCTGCTCAGGTCACTCCTAGGGCAAGGAGCAGGTCTGGATTTGAAGCTCTGTGTGGCTACACAGCAACAGGAGTGATTTACTTTCCTAATGTTAGTGTCTTCTATGACAATTTTCCCTAACTCCAGTAAGAATGAAATGGGGTATAAAAATTAGAAGTTACGGTCGTTTTTGAGAAAAGTACAGTCATATTTTAGTTATAATATAAATTTCAAAGGCTTATCAGGTTTACGCTGTAAAGAAGCCCAGTGTTTGGCAGATATTAGGCTGATTCAGTAACTATTTATATCATCGAAATAGAATAAATGATGTAATGAGTAAATGAATAAAACACAATTATTTGACATCATCTATGCATACGATTTGCATTTGTACAAAGTCCATTGATCAGTAATTTGCTACCTATTGCAGATCTGCTGCCCATGTTTCAAAATTCTTCAGCACTCAGCAACAAAATAGTCAAACAAATGTTTCTTTAATTCCTCTCAGTTAGCTTACAGATTCTTTGAAATTATTCATCCAACCATGGATCTAGACATCTGGGAGAACTGACAAAACTTTCAAGAACCATTCTAATGTACAGTGCTCAGATTACATTTAGGGGGATTTTCTGAGAGTCTGAAGATTATAATCTAACATTTACAAATATTAGAATCCCTGTCATTTTTTCAGTGGTTAAGAAGGGCCGTATAGAGACATGCATACAGGAGGTAAAAGCAGCTATTGCTTTTATACTCCTGTGGTTGGGCTTCTATTCTTAATTCCAAAAAGAGAAAGTTGCATTTTTTGTTTGCATAATGATGGAAAACATCCACATGGTGTCTAGTAGATAGCAGTGCCTGAAGTTGCAGACATTGAGAGGATTCTGTCACTAACCTCAAGAGGTTCACCACAATTATCAACTTTTCAGAAGCTGACACTCAAAAATAACATATTCCTTTATGTATGAAAAGCAACTCAATTTATCTTAAAATATTTCTACATTAAGAAACAGGTCTCCTACAAGGCCATAATAATCAAATGATTCTAATTTAGGTCAAAACAGCTGGGGAAGTGATTGTGCAGCACGGCTGTTACTGTGCAGCAGAGGCCAGCTTAGCCCTCCTGTTTTAATTTGCGGCCATTATCTTTTTGATTGGTTAGTGTCAATGGTTTATAATCATTCAATATTTTCAATATTAATGTTCTAAACAATAAATCATT